TTCTCCATCCAACACAAATGTAGCTAATGACACTCCGCTTTTATCCAGACAAACTATGCTAGCTAGTATCTTCTCTATCCTCATTAGCCAGTTCCCACTTCCATCGAGTCTTTTGTTGGATGCAGATTTTGAAATATTTTTAAATATATTTCCACAACAACTATATCATTTTTGATAAGTTGCGATCTGGACTCCTGAATCAGTCGAGTCGTCGTTATCAGGATATTCACATTCACATTTATAATAGGTTGTACTTCGTTTTCTATCGAATTCTATTCTTCTTTTATTTCGAGTGTACCAATGCTTGAATAGTATAATTATTAATTTGTATTAACTTAATTTTTTAATTTGTATTATTATTAAAATTTACATTATTGAATCTTTTATCAAGATTAAGGTTTTAATTTTAAATGCATTATTGACTGCAGCTGCTGTCTTTGAGCATTAACAATTTCCAAAAATTTCACCGTTAGGCTACCACCATTTTTCATTTCCAGGAAATCGTTTAGAATTTTGATTAGCGTTATTTAGTTAAGCAGCTGCGGAATATGTGATCAACCATCAAAAGACTTGTTTACATTAACCTTACAGGCAAGTACTTTTGGATGCTGCCCAGAAGGTTGGCATAGAAGGAGCTGCAGAATTCATTAATGACCCCAATAAAGGCCTTAAAGAGGTATCTTCCTAACAAATCTCTGTTTCTGTATATATATCCATCCTTAACTTTCTGTTCATATCTGAAACAACGCTAACTCTATGAACTTATCGTGTTAAGGTTAATGAAGAACTGCAGAAGTATTCCTCTCAAATTTCGGGTGTTCCACACTTTGTGGTACATTAATATTTATTTTCATACTCGTTTCAAAGTATATTTGTTTTTCTGCATCACATTATTTTGTTTTGGCCTGTCGTAATCTCTCCTCTTCAGATTAATGGATCATATGAGATCAGTGGCGGGCAACCTCCAGAGGCCTTCTTGCATGCATTTCAAGCGGTATCAAAATAAATAAATAAAGCTGGTAAATATATCTCGTTTATGCCTAAATATGGTCCATTTATGTGACATGAGTGACTATTGGAAATCTTTCTGTAACTATGTTGCTGTTATATTTACTTCTGAGTCATTCTGATGGTCTAACTATATTTATACTATAATATACTTTTTGCATATATGTATATATGGCTTACTATTTCTCATCACTCAGTTTGAAATGTGCTCTCTACATTATTTGAAGCGTTGCATCATTTCCTTGCTGCATGTTATAGACATGCTTTGCTCACTTTTTTTCTCAGAAATCATGCTCTTCTTACAATTTACATGAAAAGTTTTGAAAATATTTTGACCGAAAATTTTTGGAGATGCTTTTTTTTCTTGTTCATTGATCCAATTGCTCACAATTTGAGTTTTTTTATAAATGCATTTGAAGATCATATTGCAGTTTTTCAGACCTATGAGTTTATTGAGATTTATAAGCTCACAAACAGGAAGTATGACTTTTGTCCATGATGATGAATCGCATCGTTCGGAATTAATCTCATGATTCAAACTAAGAAAGAAAATTAGGATTTTGAAACATGATTTCTATGTAGTGGATTGACAAAAATGCAAGCCCTACAATTTTTACCATTATATGGATTTGCATATGAAAGAGGTTAAGGAGATGGGTATTAAAAAATTATGTCTTGTGCCTGCATAAGAAGTTTTATCTTAAGAAACCTGATATGTTATACATTTTTTGTCAAATGAAAAAGAAATAATTATATGAATATAAATGCGGCCATGTTTTGAATATACACTGGTGCTTAGAGGGCTTAAGACTGAAAAACTTCCTTTCCAGCCTTTCTGTAGTATTAGGCTTAACCTCGAGTAAGATCCCTTGGTATGATTCTCTAGATGACTTCCATAGTGCTAACCCAAAACTAATATCACTTTATATTTAGATAAACGTTTATTTTTTTTCAACTCATTAAATGCAGTTGGATAGACCATAGTAAGATTCTCAAACCATGAAGTAAGCTAAAAATGCACCTTTAGGTCACCTTTAAGATCCTTGGACTTTATGAACTTGAAACTTAAATCAAAGCCTTGAGACTCATAATTGAGTCATGATAATTTGTTCAATCTAGTTTGTCAAATTCAAACTTTATAGGCTTAGTGGGCTTGCTTAATCGAATTTAACTCTTTTTCTAAAAAAAAAATTTATTACTTGTGAATCTAACAAGATTATAAGTCATTAAGAACCATACTTGAGTGAAATTCAAACTCTTAAACTCTTGTTTAACCCAATTTTACCAAATGACTTATCTTGAGCCATTAAAGTTCTGATGATGTAAGTTAAACAACTTGAATTCAATTTTAGTTCTAAATAAAAGTAGTGAATCATAAGATAGGCTTGAATCATTTTAAGCCTACTTGGGGTTTCGGTCTAAAATTACTTCGTCCAAAGGACCCATTGGGATCCATTAAGAATTGTGAAGGACAAAACTAGCCCTCCTCTAGAAAGTGATTCTAAGTGGAACTAGAGAGTTATAAAGTTTACAAGGAACCATTCTTGAACCCTCAAAGTTTAATCAATAAGCTCAAATAAGCCAATTAGGAACTTTACTCGATGATGAAGATCATATCAATTCAAATGCACCCAAAACATAATTCAAGTTCAACCAAACTTTCTTAACCATCCCCTATTAACTTAAGCTAGTCATTGAAACCAAGCTTAAATCCAATGGGCCCTAATTGGGCTTAATAGATCATTGACCCATTAAGGTCATGTAGACCCAATTTAATCCAAATTAAATTCAATTGAAATAAAATTGGCTAGACACTTATTTGTATTCTATGGTGGCTCCCTATCAAACTTAACCCATTTGAACCAAGCCTCGACCAAGGCCAACCCAAATTTTATTAAACCGAAATATTCTTAAATGTAAAATTGGCTAGCCTAGCTTAATCAATTTGTATAGGCTTGCATACCATGCATATGTGAGCTAATTTGAATCATCCAAGCATCCTAGCTTACTAGGAACCCATTAATAAACTGAAATCTTGCTTTGCCTAAGTTGTTCAAGAGTGGTTCACCCTCTTCTCCAATATTTGTTGAAGCCTCATAGGGTGATCACTAAGAGACATTCTCTAGCACTCTACAAGATATCCCTAACCGTCAGAGACCCTTAATTGGCATCACCGCCCTAAGCTTGGTCGATAAATAGCTTTCTTACTTCGTTGTTTGGGCTTGTGATCTCGCATCAAAAACACTCCTTAGCATCCTAGCAATCATCCCAAGTCTTCTTCACATCTAATCAAACCACCTAAGCCCATGAAAAACCAACATCACCTAGACATCCCTAATCTCTATATTAAAAAAAGTGGTCATTTGTGGTGATTGAGAGGAGCCTAA